TCACCTCTTAAACTATATTTCCTTGCATGAGCTACCTCTGGACCAGCTTTCATGCCGCCTCCACTCGTTATGCAATCGTCGGAACCTGCAAAACGTAGTCGACCGCCCAATCACCTTTTAGGGCGCGGGTTACGGCTGGTGCTGCCCTTGACTGCGGCGTTTGTAGCCAAGCCGCTCCAGATTAGCGAGCCCTCCGTTGTCGTCGCCGCGACGCTTGTCGTCAAACTCCTCACCACGAGTCGCCGCTACCCTTTCACCCCTTAATCGAATGTCGCTACCGCCCTAAATCGACAATCTTCCTCCAACTGTCGAAGCCCTCTGTCATCATTGCTCTCGTGGCTGTTTCCTTTTCTTTTTTTTTGCTGTGTGAAGAAATAATCGAAAAAAAGCCTCCCATTTCTCTTGCTCTTGGCTGAATATTGGAAACCCTAATAAAAAGGATCTGGGCCCTGCCCATTTTTGTTTCAGAAAGCATAAAAATAAGGCAACGATGGCTGTTGAGGTTTTTAGTAGAACCAAGAGGCTGAGTGAGTTCCCTCATAATTTTATTCTTGAGATGCTTTCTTTTTCGAGCAAGTTTTTTTTGTGAGGAGTTGAAGCATGCTTGTGATACACATTTGTCTTCTCTGGTTTTGGATATGGACGACGCGGTGTTGCTGATTGAGTATGAACTGGAGGAGACTGCATATAAGCTTGTGGCGGCTTGCTTGCAGGTGTTTCTGAGGGAGCTTCCTGGTTCGTTGTAGCGATGGAGTGTTATGAAGTTGGAAGCGAAATGGGATTTTTTTTCTAATTTCGGAATGAGGAACTAGTATGAAGGGGTTCAGTACAGTGTGTATCGCAATCTTGGAATTGCCCTCTTTTGCTTTGCCACTCTACAGGTAAATCTACTCTTGTTCTTCTGCTTCTTCTTCATATCTTAATCCAATAAAGATGAAGTTTAACAGTGTTAGCTTTGAAATTTTGTATATTTTCGCATTCTTCTTGAGCCCAGTGAAGACTCACAAATACAGGTGATTGCCATTCAAAAATTGTAACCGTGGAGTTCTATCAAATTGGGTTTATGAAATTAGGAAATCTTGGGTCTCTGTTTTGATCTCGGGTTGGGATTTTCTGGTTGCGTATTGTTCCAAGTTTCCAACATCAACTGAAAAACACTTTGACTTGCACCATTCTGTTTCAGGTTCCTTTGGATTTGAAGAGCACGCTTCAATTGTGTATGCTGCCTTAACAGTTGATAAAGAGTTGCAACCTGATAAAGTAAAACGAGGCATGAAAGTAAGTTCGGCTGGCTTTCATGATGTTGCCTTTTCATATGGAAAAACTAATGCTTCCATGGAGACAAAGGACAATGATGCTGAGTCTAGTTTTCGTCCAAACTTCCCAGTACCAGAGAGTCTACTCAATAATCTGCCTCCAAATGAGAAAATACATCAGATTATTTCAAGGACTGCAATGTTTGTTTGCAAACATGGAAGTCAGTCAGAAATTCTTCTTAGGGTGAAAAAAGGAGATAATCCAAATGCATACCGCATCAGTTTAGTACGAACCGAGTCCTAAAGTCTGAAAAAATAAAAAAAAACACGCTACTACCTCGATTATCTAAGAACCGAGGCATAATCCTATCTCGTTTTACCTCGGTTCGGAACCGAGGCATAAAGCCTACCCCTTTTTACCTCGTCCGTATATGCCTTGATTGTAAAACCGATGCCTATAAGCAAAAATAACCGATGTCGTTTCCCTTTACTGCACTAGTGAAAGTCATACAATATAATCTTATTCTTAATATTGGTTACGTGATTGTAATATCTTTAATAATAATTCTCTAAACATAGAACTTATCCTTAGTTTATAATTTGGAAAAACTTATTTTAGTATTCTTCTTAAATGTGTTAAAATTTGTCATTAAAAAATTACAACATGTTGTTTATCTAATAATTTTATATTTTTTTCATCCAAAAAATGTATTATTTTTTCAAAGTATTCATCGTAATGATGAAACTAATTTTATTCTTAGAGTGTGACTTTGATATTGTAAAAATTTAGAAAATGACAGTGATTTAAAAATAATGAGACTCAATTATTTTAATATTAAAAAGATTTATTATAAATAGTTTTGTTATAAACTTATTACATTATGTTAAAACATCACTCTCTATAAATTATTTTTCTAGTGTTCTCTAATTTCTCTTTTGAATATTTCTCTTCATCTTCAATTTGAACCAATCAATTTTTCAGTTTGGTTAAGATGAGTTCCAACAATTTTCTTGGTCTATTTCTATTTTCTTTTTCATATGAGTGTTCTTTCACTTGCATGTATCTTTTTAACCTTCTATTTGAATCTCTGTCAAACAGTGACTATGATGGTATGATTGTTCTTGCAATGTTTATAAATGTAGATAGAACATTTTGTGAATGAAAGTAGTTTGGAGTTCTAAAGCTATTTAAGATATCCTAATAGGTGAAGGAAGCTAATTCTATTCTTATATATTGTTGATATTTTCTTTAGCTTGTGAATTGTAATTTGGTAATTTAATTTGTGAAATTTGAATACTTTGCATGATTTGGCTCTTAAGAATTTTTGTTTGTTTTTTCTATGGAAGGTAAGGAACTTTGATGTGTATAACTAATTATGAAAATATTTAATAGCCAATTTTGTCTCTAGTTTTGTTGACAAATCTCAATTTAGTCCCTCGTTTTAAAAGTGTTTGAAATGGATCTTCACTTTTAAAATTTTGAATCAAATTAGTCCCTTCCGTTGAATATAAACAAACGACGTTACGGGTTTGATGATTTGGCAGAAAACAGTGCTAACATGTTATTTTATAAATATATTTGTGCTGACGTGTTTGTGAATTAGAAGTTGACTGTGAAAGAGTAAAGATTGACGTGGAAAGTATTGTGCTTCCCAGGGGCCTTACAGCTTGCAGTTGAGAAACCATCCTTCAATGGCATCGCTTCGTACTGGTCCAACGGGAACTAGAGCAATGGGACATTTGTCAACATCCCAGAGATGACCATCCCTTACCTTTACACCTTTTACTTCGTCGCACCGTTCTCCCCCATCACAAATGAATATGATTACTATTTGTTATAGAAGTTCAATCATTTTTTGTCTTGTGTAGCCTGACTTCTGGAAAGAATCTGCAAATGCTGTCAAGAGAACTTACAGTAAAACTGATTCTAATATTTTAGAGATGTCGGGTGAATTAGGTAGATGAGGTTCAATTACAGTTACAACCATATTATTCAACTGTCAGAAGTTAATAATAGCCAACATTGGGGATTTCAGGGTTGTCTTATGCAAGAAGGGTGTGGCCAAACAATTATCAGTGAATCATGAGCCAAACACGGAGCATAAAGATATAAAAAATAGAGGTCGAGAATTTAAATGTTATCTATAAATCATTAAACAAGTAACAAAATAAGAAAGGAAAGAAAAAATGTTATCTAACAGAGTTACCACTACTTTGTAGATTTGATTTCCAGAACCTCAAATATTCAACTGAAGAGAAAAATGTTCTTCTCTTCATTCTACACGGAAAGCAAATCCAGACCACTACATAATATAATAAATCTTGAAACAGAAAAAAAATAAAAATAAAAAAGAGATAGCATAGAGCAAAAATGTTGAGTTGAGTGGAAGAAGGAGAAGAGTGACGACGATGTTTCGAATCTCGATCAGAGTTACAGTGATTGCGAGGGAGCAACAAAGGCGATGCCGCCGGTGATTCTGATCGGTATCGGCGGTGATGCTATCAGAGGCTGAAGTGAAGCGGAGGAATTAGGGCTCAGGATGAGTTGCGATTCGAAGAGGAGAAACATGCGATTTGCTCCGTAGGACGACAGCGGTGTCATCAGGTGTGCACGGAGGGAGGAACACTGTAGTGGCGGGCGGTGTCTCTGGCAACAATCGGTGCCGTTGACGACAATTTTGGTTGTCCAGAGGAAGGCACAACGACGTTGGTCATGCGAAGGGCAGAGCTGCCGCTAATGAAGGTGGAGAAGAGACCTTCGTTTCTGAAAAAGAGAAAAAAAGAAACCCTAGAGGGCTTGGGCCTCGCCTAGAAAATATCAAGTGCACCTCTAAATTTCATCTCTGCACCCATTCACTAACACGTCAGCATAAATATATCTATAAAATAACACGTCTTCTATCAAATCATCAAACCCTTAAGCCGTTTGTTTCTATTTAACGGAAGGGACTAGTTTGACTCAAAATTTTAAAAGTGAAGATCCATTTCAAACACTTTTAAAATGAGGAACTAAATTGAGATTTGTCAACGAAACTGAAGACAAAATTAGATATTAAACCTTATGAAAACTATGTTATGACATTGTTTAGAAATGTCTCTATGAAGTCTTTCAACTAACCTCGATCGTTGATCTATTTTTGTGATGTTAAATAATATTATTGAAATATTATTTCAAATAAATAACAATAACAAGATAATATCTTAGCATAAATAATAATCATAATATCAAATTAACGATATTAGCTATGTTGTTAATATGTAAATATGTAAATGTTTCTCCAATAGATATATTTTGAACTTAAGATATTTCTCCAATAGATATATTTTGAACTTAAGATAAAGAAATTTAATATACGTTGTTGTAGCAAACTCTTTTAATATATCTATTGGATCAAGTAGGTACGAAAGTTTTAACACATTTAAGATAAATGCTTAACTATTCATACATTGCCGCCATTTAACTATTGATATATTAATCTTCCTTGTTTTCAGTTAATAAACCAAAACTAAAAACATGATTTGAGCCAATAAGATGAATAATGTATAAACATTACATTCAAGTGGAATATCTGAGACCTGGATCCACTTTTTGGTGGAGAATTTTAAACGCGAACCATATATATTTTTTAAGAAGTCACTAACTTGCAGCTAGTGCTGTCCTGATCACCATTATTACTCCTTTATCAATATTTAGGTACATTGACACCTCAAACTTCACCACCCCTCACTATAAATATTCTTCATTGGAAGCGTGTGTTCTTCACAAGCTCTTAATAATATCTCATAGCACCATCAATATTTCCTCCTTTTCCATTTCAGCATTAATTACCCAGATTCATTTTATCTTCATCTCCTTCATGGCAAACCTTGGAGCTCGAATTAATGATGTTTCATCAAACCAAGTTGAGATCCCTGTCCATTGTGATGGTGTGGAGCCAAAACCAAGTGAAGAGAGCAATATTGACTACTCTCAAAGGGCTCAGTGGCTTCGAGCAGCAGTGTTGGGAGCCAATGATGGGTTAGTCTCTGTTGCCTCACTCATGATGGGTGTTGGAGCTGTTAAGCAAGACATCAGTGCCATGATTGTTGCTGGTTTTGCTGGATTAGTTGCAGGGGCTTGTAGCATGGCAATTGGAGAGTTTGTCTCTGTGTACACTCAGTATGACATAGAGATGACTCAGCTTAAAAGAGAGAGGGAAGCTAATAATAATGGAGGAGTGAATGGAGAACCTCAAAGGGAGAAGTTGCCAAACCCATTTCAGGCTGCACTGGCATCAGCACTGGCATTTTCTGACTGAGTTATCTAGGAACTCTAGGAATTGGGCAGCGAACTAGGAATGAAGGCAGGCTTATTGCACCGAGGGATCGGTTTGCTAAGTCAATTGTTGGAGTGACGATAACATTACTGTAAAAAGATAATTTTTTCTTACTAAAGAAGTAAACTTGGTGAAATCACCCTAATAACATATTCATCTCATATTAAACAACATCCGTTCATCTTTGTGTTACTCTACTATTGATCAATTTGCATTCATATTTAATTTTTTGTCTTTACATTTTAAACCAATGATCTCTTTTCTTTTAAGTCTTAATTAATCGAGTTATCACACAATTGTTTAATGTTAAGAGTCCTCTGGGATCCGATACTGATCTTACCATTTTATATTACTTAATGCGATTTTGGTACCTTTGTCACTCCATCAACAGTCCTTCAGGACAATGAAACACACTTCTCAGGACATACTATTTTGTCAGCTTTTCTACAACAAAAATTTGATACACTTTAAAAAATTACGTAAGTTAGTAAACTCACTTGAGTTTTTCTATTCAGACCACATCATTGTGCAGCTAGTTGTCTTCAGTCTTATCTATATACTAATTTACGTTTGTTAAATATTAAAAAGAAAACGCAATAAAACCTATATGGATGGAGAACTCAAAGTGGGAAAGCCCTGTTGGAACATTACTTGAATAAACTGGAAAAATTAATCACTGTCTGTATGAGTTATACCTATAACACAGTTTTTACAATTAGGTTGACTATAACACCAATTGGACTACTAAATGTCTACTCTTTCCAATCGTAATTACTGTTATATAGCTCGTACCATAGACATAGACTGAAGTAGATCTTCTTTTTATCAATCAAACTTCTTTCCAAACTAATACAAACTTGTTACAAAATAACACTTTCTATATATATATATAAAAATCATGACACTACATTCGATATAAAATATTAAAACTTAATAATTATAGGTTTTGGTTTCTTATGTAACACCCACCTTTTTCATTTATCTATTGAAAAACTTCGCAACTTTCCAAGTTCTACAAGTTCCGGGTTCAATTTACCCAAAACTGCCACATCTACAAAGAGTAACACATGCCGGCACAGGTACTCATTACAAAACCAATAAAAACCTTTACTAAGAATATGGATAACATTCAAAGTTGCAGTAGAGCCAATCAATTTAGTGAGGCCAAACGTTATGCCATGGCCATCCAACCTCCAATCAAACCCTAGAACAAGACTCATCACTGGAGTTTTTCCAAGACTGCTCCTAACCCTCCAAACACCAACAACTGCCAGGCTAACTGCAGCACCAAAACTCCCATCCTAATCTTGTTGGCTCCTAATAAACACAGCTGCTACATTGGCAACCAAGCCCCAAT